CATTTTCTTAGACACTAGTGTTGTGTTTCCCTTTAAGAACATTTGACACTTTAATTTCGACCTTGATGACAGTTTTGCCAAGTTTCGTTACCAAGAAACGTTACCAACGATATTTCTAGGATATAGGATAAAATATGACCAAGACAATTTGAAGCAGCAATAACAATTGTATTGTAGAAATCCATCATTCAGAATATTAAAATGCGAATTTACTAATTCAACAACAAAGTCCTTGACCTCCAACAGGGACATTTCTTGACAAGGGGTCATTCGTCCAGTATTCGATCAACACCATTGGTTACAACTTTAAGGTGACGACGGCCCAGACCGTTCAATACGGGATATGACCTCCATGAGAGCAATGCATCTTCGAATGCGGCGTCGAACTGGGTAGACAAGCGTCCTCACATCGACTGAGGGTATCCGATTCCATTCCTCACGGAGGGCAACGATCAACGCCTGTCTCGTGAAGGGAGGATGTTGACGTTTCCGAAGACGACGGCCCAGTTGGTCCAAGAGGATGTTCTGGTGATCGAGCTGGCCAGGACAGGACAGTCACGTTGTTGGCGTTGAGGAAGTCTCTAGTAATACGGGCTTTATGGGGTGTGGCGTTATCTTGTTGGAACACCGTCCGTTGTTGACGCTGGATGAAAGGAAGAACCACTGGCCGTAAGATATTGTCAATGTAGCGTTGTGCTGTCAGATTGCCTTCGATGATGACAAGTTCCGTCTTCTCGTCCCCGCAAATGCCGCCCCAGACCATCACACTTCCGCCCCCGTAAGGTTCCACCTCCTGGACACAACAAGGAGCCGCACGTTCACCACGTCGTCGATAAACTCGCGTCCGAAGGTTTGAAGAGTTGGAACCTGCTCTCGTCACTAAACAACACTCGCCGTCATTCCCTTTGTTGCCTTCGCTGAGTTTGCCTGCACCAGATCAATCTGGCACGTCGATTTTGACGGAGTCAAGGTCATGCCCTTGAAAGGGCGATAAGCCCGGAGGCCATAATGTCGTAGGCGTCTGGTCACTGTTTGTCTGCTGACCGGATGTCCTAAGCTGTTGGCAGCTGATGACGTCAAAGTAAGAAATCTGTTCCTCAGATGAAGTACCCGTAAAAAGCGGTCATCCTGCTGGGTCGTGACCTTTGGTCTGCCACTCCGTGGACTGTCTGCGGTTCTGCCAGTCTGACGGAGACGTGCGACCAGTCTGGTAATGGTCATCTTGGAGCAGTTCATGTTAATGGCAACAGCTCTCTGTGTCGCTCCCATCTGCAGCATACCTATGGCTCTCTCCCTCTGGACAGCGGTCAGTCTTGGCATGTTCGTTAGTGTTAATCATCGCAACCAATGATAGGGAACAGATCCGTGCGTAATTTATACCCGGAAATTGCATGATAATTTGGGAAAGAATGTTTTAAAAATTGCTGAAAAACACCAATATATCCCCAAATCCGCAAAGCACGTGCAAAGAACGACAGAAAACATGAAGGCTGTATTCGTGAGATGTGTTCTTTACTGTTTTTGAACAGGTTGGCATCTTTGTTTCAAAGTGGCAAATCAGTTAATGTTGGTAACGTTTCTTTTGGCCCTCAGTTTATATCAGGTTTCAATGAAAATGTGTCGGGTTATTTTCAGTACAATGCAAACTTTATAGGGGTTGTGTTTTGTTTGTAATTGTGTGGCTATTTCTATTTGGTTGGTTGGTTAGTTGGTTGTTTAAGGCCGCACTCAGCAATATTCCAGCTCTATGAAGGCGGTCTGTAAATAAACGAGTCTTGACCAGACAGTCCAGTGAGAGGTATCATGAGCATCGATCCACGCAATTGGGATTGATGACCTGCTTCAACCAAGTCAGCAAGCCAGACCACCCGATCCCGTTAGTCGCCTTTTACGGCAAGCATGGGATGCTGAAGACCTAATCTACCCCGGAGCTTCATGGGTCTATTTCTACTTGCAATGTGTACATTTTCTTTAGTTCGGTTGCTCTCTATGGCTTTTCAACAACCCATGTATGTCGTGAGAGGCTACTAACAGGATCAGGTGGTCATTCGCTGTGATTAGAAGTTAGATCATAAGTTACTGTTAAAATCGGTTTTATAACCACAATCAGTCAAGGAGCGAGTGGATGGCAAGGGAGTGAGTGAGTGAGTGAGCAAGAGCATGAGGGGAGGAATGAGCTTGCCAGCTTGATGTGAAGCGTGATCCTGAAATGACAGAAATCGAAGACGTTAAGCAATTCACTCACGGGTAGGATGCTGACAAGCATTGAATATTCTTCAGGGCAAAATAGGCCTTGCCCCGACCATTTTTATGACAATCCGAAGAATTAATATATAATAATATTTGGTGATATCTTCATCAGTAAGGAGTAGATACACCCATCTTTCAATAAGTTCGGAGTGAGTGAACAAGCGAGTGATTATTAAATATAATAAACTGCCGGGCAAAAGAAAGTACACACCCTTGTTTGATGGTGGTTAACAATAAAACAAACAAAAAATGGTTATTCGATGGTGATGAACCTTAATTTTTCCTGTGTTTCGGTGACTGTTTTCAGCCTAGTAACGTTTTGATAACGTTTTGTACTTGGTTTGACAAATGCATGTTTCTCGTTTATAAAGTCAATATACAGCGGCGGGTTGCGCCAGAAAAGAGCTTCACATATTTAATCACTACGCTACCCCACCGCCCCTTTTCATTGTTAAAACACTTATCACCATAACAGAACACAGATGAAGACTGGGCGATAGCAAATGTCCACTCTCTTAACCAATCTCATTAAAATCAGATTTTAGTTCTCGCTATTGCTAAACAAAGATCTGAGGACATCCCATTACGGGTCACATCAGAACGACCTTTCATCCGACCAATCAAAGCGTCGCTTACCAGATCATATACATAAACTGAAGATCAAAAGAAAGTTTACATTTTAACATTATGAATAGTAAACAAATGCATGCGTTCAAATCTGTGTAACATGCTACAAACAATTGCCCCAAACGCACCCACTCGTTTCCGAAGAACCAAGACCATGCAGGCGTCGATGCACGTGCTGCGACAAAAAGTACCGTAAAAAGGTTTTACTTTGCTGCATCTGTGCAGGTACATGTATAAAAGTCACAATCACATGAACCAAAAACATACCGAACAAATGCCACGTTCAAATGCAGAACAGAGAGAGAGGGCCATTGGTATGGTCATGGTGGGGACTCAACAAGGTCGGATTACCAGAACACTCGGTTGCTCACGTCAGACCATCAGCAAACTGATCACACGGTACAACAGGACTGGCGACACCACTGACATGCCTTGGAGTGGCAGACCACGTGTAACCACTCAATTAGATTGTTTGATCGTTAGTTGTTTAACGCCGCACTCAGCAATATTCCAGCGGCAGTTCACTCCATCAGAAGATAGATATCTGCGAACCTTGCATCTACGCAACCGGCGTTGGGTCACCGTGTCAGCAGCCGAACAGTGAGAAGACGACTGCGTGCTGTTGGCATTAGGGCATACAGATCACTCCGTGGGAAGGTGTTTTGTCCACAACATCGCTAAGACAAACAACGGTGGGCCCGACGTGTACGACGTGTACGACGTTGGCAGCGGCGCGAATGGCAACGTGTCATGTTCACCGATAAGAGCAGGTTCAACATATTCTATGCAGACGGGAAAAGAATGGCTCCTGGTTGTATGCAAGATGTCCGTGCCCATGGAAGTCGTGGTCTCGTGGTCTCCGCCAGAAGACACCGCTCGTTGTTATCCATGACAACCTCAATGCACAAGGGTACGTTGACGAAGTCCTGAGACGAGTACCGGTGCCATTTCTGCAGCGACAACCAAGGGGGATCCTGCTGCACCAGGACACCGCCCCACCACACATTCCCCCTCCACCACCCCCGGTTCAAGCAGGACTTTCTTCACATTCCCCATACATGTCCTGCGTCGAGCACTTGTGGGATCCTCTGGGTAGAGAGCTAAGGAAACGACCCAACCATCCAAACAACTTATAGGACCTTTCAGGATGTCTGGCAACATCAGACGTTTGACGTCTTCCATGAGACTGTGTTTTGAGGCGTGCATCCTTACCAGGGCGCGCAGGTCATCCGCGGTATTGATGACGTCGCCCCAATGCCACCTTAGTGTCCGCTGATGTTTCTACCAACTTAGTGGCCACAGCCTATGTCACTAAAACTTACTCTTGGTACCCCCAGTCATATACACTGACAGCCATTGGTGTTCAGCTGACTGTAATATTATCCATTTGACATTTTGCATGATAGACAACAAGTGAAATGCATACACAGTATCAATTGCATCAACATCATTTGGATCTTTTACAGTTCATCAAACTCCATGTCAACTTTCTTTTGATCTTCAGTTTATTTAGCTAAATATTCGCATTTTTTTGTTGGGCAGGATATGTGACATTTCATGTAGGGCAGGACATGGTCACCCTTTTCGCGGACACTTTGGTGTCATCAGCGTCATTTCTTGCTTTGTCGTTTTATATTTGTTGAAACCGAAATACATTTCATAGAATATCAACATGGACTGTGTGTTCAAGTTAGTACCTAACATCACTCTATCTGGCCTGTTTGTCTGACAAGAAATGTTTTTGTGCCATGATGTAACGGAAAGAAGACAGGTGCGTGTTCCCAAACATTTCTACAATTTTGTTTATCAAAATTGAAATTCTTTTAACCATTCTTAAGTTGACCTAAATGTCTCAAAAGCTGATGTCTTTCTTACAGGCATCGACTGCCATTCAGGCTTAGAGGAATGTGTCACGTTTGGTGTGATGCATCCAACGCTCTGGTTCGGACGAGTCGTCTGTTAAAGCTGGACCGTGTTGAGGGGCATGAGATGTATTTTATCTTTATTCAAACATGCACATAACGCACATACCAACTGATAAGAATCTGCTGCTATGTTCACAGGCCAGAAGATACATAAATCTCTTCTCGTCAGCTGGAAGCCAGTGTGATTTAGACGCCATCATGTTAAGGGTAACCTTTCTGCTGCTGATGGTGACTGCCGCCCTGGCTCTCATGAATGTGCTGTTTTTGGTGTCAGATGACATGAGGCCTGAACTCTCCATTTTTAAAGGAAAAGACTTCCCGAGTCCTGTCCATCCTCCGATACATTCACCCAACCTTGACGCCCTGGCTCGAAGGAGTCTTCTGTTAAAGAGAGCCCATGTTCAGCAGGCTGTGTGTTCCCCGAGCAGATCATCTCTCCTCACAGGACGAAGACCGGATACTACCCATGTGTATGATTTGCAGGTTTACTGGAGAGTTGTGGGAGGGAACTTCACCACCATACCTCAGTACTTTAAGGAGAACGGCTACAGAACCATTGGTTCCGGTAAGATATTTCACCCCGGACATGCCTCCAATTACAACGACCCCATATCCTGGACAGACCCATATTTTGAGGCAGGACAGGAAGCCAATGCGTTTACTAATAAAAAACATGCCAGCTGGTTTAGTGTGCCGATGGATCTTCTAAAGAACAACTCCCTTCAAGACACCCAGAATGCTGACTTTGCCATTAATATGATCAGAGAGGCTGCTCCCCAAGCCAGATCTGGAGAACGTCCTTTCTTCATTGCACAAGGTTTCCATAAGCCCCATCTTCCCTTTGTGGCGCCACAGATGTTCTTTGATATGTACCCCGAGTCGTCTATCAGTCTCCCAGCCAACCCATACGCTCCTGATAAGATGCCAGAAATTGCATGGTCTAATTACATAACAACAGAGCTTGGGAAATTCGAAGACATTGCAAAATTAAATGCTTCAGGAGACATTAACTCCACACTCCCTAACGATGTTATCCTCAAATTGAGGAGAGCCTACTACAGCGCCCTCAGCTACACCGACTACGAGCTGGGACGAGTGGTCAAGGAACTGGAGAACCAAGGGCTGGCCAACAACACAATCATCTCCTTCTGGGGCGATCACGGCTGGCAGCTGGGTGAACACGGTGAGTGGTGCAAACACACGGACTTTGAAATCGCCACCCACGCCCCTATGATGGTACATGTGCCGGGTCTCACTGACAACGGCATCGTGACGGAAGAAGTGACCGAGTTTGTGGATCTGTTTCTAACTCTAGTCGAAGCTGCAGGTCTTCCTGTGCTTGACTTGTGTCCAGAAAACTCTACCAATGTCCTTCTTTGCACCGAAGGCAATAGTTTGATACCTCTAATAACAAACCCAGCAAGTCCCAACTGGAAGAAGGCTGTGTTCTCCCAGTACCCTAGGAATGAAAGCAACGGTGATCAAATGGGCTACAGCATGACCACCGATCACTACAGATACACAGAGTGGGTCAAATTCAACCCACAACCCCTGTACAGGCCAGACTGGACCCAAGTGTTCGGTGTGGAACTGTATGACCATTATCAGGATCCTGAGGAAAACAAGAACCTGGCGTATGATTCCGCCTTCAGCGCCTTGGTGGCTCAACTCAGCAAACAGCTACATGCTTGCTGGAGGGCAGCTAGACCCAAGTAGGAGGGGCAACAAAAAGATGGAATATCCACCAATGCTGCAATCCGACTACGTGGTGATTAGTGTAAGAAATCATTTGTTTGTTATCCAGTTTTTTTTATAGATTTCTGTATGCATGTACTTTTTTATGAAAATTGTTGCGGGTGTTACAAGAAGGGAAGGACATGCTTTCTCTTTTCGTGAACACCTGGTGTCATCACTGATTTTCAGTGATCCATTCATATAATTGTCACCGCTTGTTGGCCTTTTATGCACAATTGAGTCTTTTTCATCAGATAATCTATGCTGTTTTTTCTCTTGCGTTAACGTTTCATGTTAAACTATCTTGTTTGGAATGTCGAGTCTCAGGCAAATGAAATTGCTATTTGTTACAGTACCTCGAGATTGCATAGACAGCCTATAGTGGTGTAGCAGCAAGTCAATGTGCAAAGTTGCGTCCCTTAGCTTGTCCAGGATTTTCAGCACCTATCTATGAAGCTATCGTTCGTAAGGCGGACCAGAATGTATTATTCGAATCTCCTGTCAGACACTGTCAGACACTTACATTTGCTCCCTAGTTTCATTCTAATTGAAACGCATTTGGCCTTTGTGTTATTTTGTGCATACCAACCATATTTACCCGACACGCGCGAGATACGGTAACTAAAAAGTGTTCAAATGAACGATCCCGACTCTACCATGAGCATGTGTTTATGAATCACTTCAAATTGAGATGATACCAGGTGTTCGCGAAAAGGTGAGCGTATCCTGCCACACCGGTGGCACCCGTCACAAACACATGCAAACTCAAGTCAAATATTCACGAGAAGTAAATACACGGGAACATATGGTCAAAAGGGGAATACTTTTGTCACATATGAGTCAAATTTGGAAATGTGCTCCACATGTATACAATAAAACCATTTGAGTGCTTTACTGAGGCCTTGAATGTTGAAACCTTGATCAAATAACTTCTGAACAAGAGTCGTATGACGGAAAATTATTTTTAAACGAAACTCTTCAATGATAATATAATAATAATGTACATCGTTTGAAATGAAAATGCGTCTAGTCGAGATGAAATGGGGTAAAGCGTCGCATTCAAGATCATTGCACATACACAGCGACGTGCTTGCACTAGTCCGGACTTTATCCAGTTTTATAGTGCCAATACAGGGAACGAGTGATTGAGTTTTAAACCCCTCTTAGTACACTCGATACAACAATGTACCATGCAAGACGTGGGAGGTCATTATTTAACGCTGCATCAGCAATGTTGCAGCTATTCACGCCCTTTCGGATTGACAACCACATTGTGACGAATGAGACCTGTTTTACACCCATTCACTGCGGGCATTCCAGCTCAGTGTTGGTCGCAAGTATGCAATGCTTGTCGTTTGAGCAGTCTAAATAACTTCTGTCACTGGTGGAATGCAATTTCCCTACGTTCCACCAACCGGTACCGAGACAACTTCCGGTATGACATTGAACTCTTTACGAAATCCTTAAATGATGTAACACCGATCAAACAACGTCCTATTACAATGGAGTAATCCTTAGAAAAATACTCGATCGTACCTCAAAACAAAATTGACATGTACACAATTAATGGGTAACAACTTCTTTAACGATATGAAGACGACGTCTCGGAAAAGACCAAACGTTATCAAAACCTTACTGGGCTGAGAACAGTCGCCGAACCACGACCAACGTAAAGTCCCCGTATCAAATACATCACCATCGAATAACCGTTTCTTGTTTGGTTCATTTTTAGACACCATAAAACATGGGTGAATACTTTTTTTGGCACGGCAGTTTATTCAAAATGGTATTTGGTCATTATAGAAAAAGTTAAACACCTCGTCGGGAAGTAAAAATACTTTAAATAAAATTTGGGTTCGTGGTGAAACCAAGGTCTTTAAAGAAACTCTTAATCAATAAATATTTCACCCAATACTATCATGTCCGTGGTCTGGCAGCCCTCCATCCAGCATGCAGCTCTTTCCGTAGTTCAGATACAAGTTTCTTTTCAGCAGAATTATAAGCCAGGTTATAGTTTTCCTCAGGGTCCTTAATATGATCGTACAGCTCAACACCATAAACCTTGTTCCAGTCCGGCTTATAGAGAGGTTTCATGTCGAACTTCACCCACTCGGTGTATCTGTATTTAGCTGTGGTCATGCTATAGCCCATCTGGTGACCGTTATCGGCAGACCTTGGGTACTGTGAGAAGACTGTTTTCTTCCAGTTAGGACTTGCTGGATCTTTCATCAGAGGAACCAAGCTGTTGCCTTCGGAACAGACTAGAACGTTGGTTGAGTTTTCTGGACACAGGTCAAGAGCAGTAAGACCTGCAGCTTCGACAAGAGTTGGAAACAGATCCACAAACTCAGTGAGTTCTTCCGTCATGATACCGTTGTCAGTGAGACCCGGCACATGTACCATCATAGGGGCGTGGGTGGCGATTTCAAAGTCCGTATGTTTGCACCACTCACCGTGTTCACCCAGCTGCCAGCCGTGATCGCCCCAGAAGGAGATGATTGTGTTGTTGGCCAGTCCTTGGTTCTCCAGTTCCTTGACCACTCGTCCCAGCTCGTAGTCGGTGTAGCTGAGGGCGCTGTAGTAGGCTCTCCTCAAGCCGAGGATAACATCGTTAGGGAGTGTGGAGTTAATGTCTCCTGAAGCATTTAATTTTGCAATGTCAACGTAATTTCTAAGTTCTCCATAACTAGACCATGCAATATCTGGCATCTTATCAGGAGCGTATGGGTTGGCTGGGAGACTGATAGACGACTCGGGGTACATGTCAAAGAACATCTGTGGCGCCACAAAGGGAAGATGGGGCTTATGGAAACCTTGTGCGATGAAGAAAGGACGTTCTCCAGATCTAGCTTGAGGGGCAGCCTCTCTGATCATTTTAATAGCAAAGTCAGCATTCTGGGTGTCTTGAAGGGAGTTGTTCTTTAGAAGATCCATCGGCACATTCATCCAGCTGACTTTATCTTTATAAACAAACGCGTTGGCTTCCGTTCCGGCCTCAAAATATGGGTCTGTCCAGGATATGGGGTCGTTGTTATCGGAGGCATGTCCGGGGTGAAATATCTTACCGGAACCAATGGTTCTGTAGCCGTTCTCCTTAAAGTACTGAGGGATGGTGGTGAAGTTACCTCCCACAACTCTCCAGTAATCTTGCAAATTATACACATGGGTAGTATCCGGTCTTCGTCCTGTGAGGAGAGATGATCTGCTCGGGGAACACACAGCCTGCTGAACATGGGCTCTCTTTAACAGAAGACTCCTTCGAGCCAGGGCGTCAAGGTTGGGTGAATGCATCGGAGGATGGACAGGACTCGGGAAGTCGGGTCCCTCAAAAATGGAGAGTTCAGGCCTCATGTCATCTGACACCAAAAACAACACATTCATGCGAGCCCGGGCGGATGTCACCGCCAGCAGGAGAAAAGTCACCCACAATATCATAACGTCTAAAATTACACTGGGTTCCAGTTGTCGAGAAGGTATTTATGTATCATCTGGCCTGTGAACATAGCAGATGATTCTTATCATATGGTATATCTGTTCAGTGTACGTTATAATGAATACATGGCATAGCCTTGACCCATGGTGACCAAGTATTTTGCTGACAGCAGGAAATTATTATCTAGTTCAACAGGCTTGTCACTCTAATACCACACGTTTAACATGAACTAAGTCATCTTAAAGTTATATAAGATGAAAACATGCTATAATATTTTTTGACACCCATGAAATAAAAGTGACAAAAATCAGTCCATAATCATAAAAATATAGTCCATTATACGGATCCAACTATACCATAAGCATGTGTTTATGAATAACTATCAAAATTAATAGTGATGAAACCAGATGTTTGCGAAAAGGTGAACGTATCCTGCCCCACCGGTGCAAAGGCAAGTAAGAAGGAATAGGGATTTGTATCTGACACCAGTTTTGTCACTCATGCGTCAAAATGAGACGAATGGGACTTTTTGGCAAATAAAACTGACCCGTGAACGCAGCAATATCATAGAAATAGACAGATACAGAATGGCAGTAAAAAAACATGAATATGAGTCATAAATATGATGTCCAATTTAAGAATGCAGAGCTTGTTAATTACACGCCGCGTGACACAGATATAAGTAGAACGCCTAACACATACTAAAAATCTGTACACTGAAGAAACAAAACGTGCCTTACTGTTCGATGATAAAGAATGTCGTGAATTAGATATAATACATATATAATCCCTTCTTTTTTAACTCTTCAAATCACTCAACACCATATCCTCGGCACCGCTGTATTGTTACTATTTGTGCCTTTCTTATTGATTTAGTCGAAGTTAGACATGGATACTGATATCTTCAATAACAGCTGGTATAGTAAAGGGGGCGAGGGAGGAGATATCCAGGGGGCGAGGGAGGGAGAAAATCAGGGGGCGAGGGAAGGGGATCCAGGGGAAGAGGGAGGGAGAAAACCAGGGGGCGAGGGAGAGGGAAAAACAGGGGTCGAGGGAGGAGAGATCCAGTGGAAGAGGGAGGGGGAAAACCATGGGGCGAGGGAAGGGGATCCACGGAAAGAGGGAGGGGGAAAAACAGGGGGCGAGGGAAGGGGATCCAGGGAAAGAGGGAGGGAGAGATCCAGTGGAAGAGGGAGGGGGAAAACCAGGAGGCGAGGGAAGGGGATCCAGGGAAAGAGGGAGGGAGAGATCCAGTGGAAGAGGGAGGGGGAAAAACAGGGGGCGAGGGAGGAGAGATCCAGTGGAAGAGGGAAGGAGATTCAGGGGGCGAGGGAGGGAGAGACGCAGGGTGCGATAGAGGGAGAGATCCAGGGGGCGACGGAGGGAGAGATCCAGGGTGCTAGGGAGGGAGAGATCCAGGGAGCGACGGAGGGAGCGATCCAAGGGGCGAGGGAGGGAGAGATCTAGGGATCCAGGTTTGGAAAGAGTTTTCATTTGTAAAGTGAATTCCAAGATATTTATAACCGTTAACATATTCCGTTGGTGATTTAATAAAATATGTTTACTCTTGTCTCTTTTTGAACCACCAAAAAGTACCATTTTTGATTTGGGGACACGGGTGGCCCAGTCGTCTAAGGCGCCGCGATTCGCTCTGCAGTGTTGCATCCCTTCGGCACGCCAGAAACCTATGATTGTGGGTTCGAATCCCGGTTCGCCCCGATTATGTTGAACGGTAGCTACAAAGATAGGTGCTGACAGTCAATTTTCAGAGAATCCCGGACGAGCTAAGGGAGACTCGTCAGAGCTACAGAAGACGTCCGAACCAGAGCGCTGGGGGAAAGCATCACACCAAAAGCGACACATTCCTCTAAGCCTGAATGGCAGTCGATGCCAGTAAGAAAGACATCGGTTTTCCAGACATTAAGGTCACCTAAAGAATGGCTGAAAGAATTTCAAGTTAAACATAAAAAGCACTTGTCTTCTTATCGTTACATCACGGCACAAAAAACAATTCTTATCAGACAACAGGCCAGATTGTGTAGTGCTTCGTACTAACTTGTACACACTGTCCAGTTTGATAGTCTATGAAATGAATTGATGTTTTCAACAAATATAAAACGACAACGCCAGAGAAAACCCAGTTTCGATTCTTTTGTGGTAGAGGTCAGAAGGATAATCCTTAAATTGTTGACATTATAATATAAATATATCCTAGAAATTCCAAACACCCTAATACTGTCCATAAATGTGATCTTGTTGGATGTTGTCCCTCTACAGCTGACTGTACAATGCCACTGCAGGAAGAACATCCTATTTCTTGTTGCTGATAACATGAGGCCTGACTTAGGTGTGTCCAGAGACACCCAGTCTGAACACCCTAGCCAGGAAATGCCAGGAAATGCCAGGAAATGTCCATCCAGCTATTTGCTCCCTTGGTCACAGTACAGAGGCCAGACACGACACATGTCTTCGGTTTACACGCTTACTGGCTGAAGGTGGCATGGAACTTCATGACGATACACCAGTACCAGAAGCAGGCTTTCTCCTTGATGATGTGTGAACAACGACCCTGTTTGAAGGGATGTCATATATTCTTAGATAAAAGGCCCCCGTGGATCGCTGTACATTGACTTTAGAAGTGAGAAACACCTGCAATTAGAACTTCATTTACTCACTTCTTTCTTGGTCGTGACCCGTGAATATTTCGGGGGGGGGGGGGGGGGGAAATAGGTCTTCAGCAACTCATGCTTGCCGTAAAAGGTGACTAACGGGATCGAGTGGTCAGGCTCGCTGACTGATGTATGCCATCGTGTCCCAGTTGCGTGGATCGATGCTCATGATTTCAATCACTGGATTGTCTGGTCCAGACTCGATTATTTACAGACCGCCGTCACATAGCTGGAATATTGCTGAGTGCAAGCCTTGCCTGACAATGATATAAGAATCTACGCCGAAACGTCGCCATCACAGTAAATAAAGAAGTTGTTATCCGTACATTGTATCTTTGTCATCCGTCAACTTCTAACTACTGTCTATCTGACAATTATGCTTCCAATAGTCCAATGACGTTATTCCGTTGTGCTTCAGAAGGTCGTGGCATGAAGTTACACAGTTCCTAAGAACCAAGAGAATCTCCCACTATTCAAGAAGTTTCAAGTTAAGATCTTGTGCGGGCATCAATCCGGTGGTTCTCATGGTGTGTTACTTTTCTGTGTTGTTGCGAAGTACTAGCATCTGTACCGAAACGTCGCAATGAAGGTGAGGTGAGGTTTAACGTCCCGTCCTGATTATTGCACGTATGTAGCGATGTGCATGCGCGTGTGTATGTGTGGCTGCTTGTACTAGTCCGGACTGATACCGATTAATAGTGCTAGCACTGAGCTACCATTCGCAGTTTAACATGAATACCCCACTCAGACACAGCATACTGACTCCAAGACAAGTGCTTGTTTTCGCCCCTTAATGCCGAGCGCCAGACAGGGTAACAACAAGTACCATCTTTTAATGTGTTTTGGTATGACGCGGCCGGATCGAACCCCGGACCTTCCGCTCTCCGGGCGGACGCTCTTCCACTAGGCCACGGAGGCGGCCACGTCGCATTGAAAGTATAAAGAAACTTTAACTCTATCTTCATGCCTAACATATCGCTTGTGTGCTAATTCCTTAAAGTTTTATATATCTTTATCAATATCCTCTGAGCAGTTCTCTTTTTGGCGAGTATACTTTGTACACAACAGCCAGTGAATTACTAGTGAGTGATTGAATGAGTGATGTCATCTGCAAATCTGTTATCTCCGGAATGATAATAAAGTGGAGGTACTTCGGTTTTTTCCGAGACGTATACATCAAGATTATACTGTCTGGATCAAACCATTCACATATTTCAATTTTTTTTCGAGCTGCAAGCTAAGCGTAATTACGGAGCGAAAATCACTTGACACTCCAAATTATGGATGGTATGGCCCTCGAGAAATTCAAACGCCTAAAGTCCCTCACCAAGGCTCGAAATGCCTATCCTGTTCGATGTAGCCCTGACTCTCTTCCTAAAAATCCTGGGCACTGGGCACTGACAAGTAAGTTGACTATCACCTGGGGCACTGACAAGTAAGTTAACTGTTACCCATTGCACTGACAAGTATGTTAACTGTTACCCAGGGCACTGACAAGTAAGTTAACTGTTACCTAGGGCACTGACAAGTACGTTCACTGTTACCTAGGGCACTGACAAGTAAGTTAACTGTAACCTAGGGCACTGACAAGTAAGTTCACTGTTACCTGGGGCACTGACAAGTAAGTTAACTGTTACCTAGGGCACTGACAAGTAAGTTAACTGTTACCTAGGGCACTGACAAGTACGTTAACTGTTACCTAGGGCACTGACAAGTAAGTTAACTGTTACCTAGGGCACTGACAAGTACGTTAACTGTTACCTGGGGCACTGATAAGTAAGTTAACTGCTACCTAGGGCTCTGGCAGGTCAGTTAACTGATACCTAGGGCACTGACAAGTAAGTAAACTGTTACCCAGGGCACTGACAAGTAAGTTAACTGTTACCTGGGGCACTACCAAGTAAGTTAACTGTTACCTAGGGCACTGACAAGTACGTTGACTGTTACCTAGGGCACTGACAAGTAAGTTTACTGTTACCTAGGGCACCGACAAGTAAGTTCACTGTTACCTAAGGCACGGACAAGTAAGTTAACTGTTACCCAGGGCACTGACAAGTAAGTTAACTGTTTCCTAGGGCACTGACAAGTACGTTAACTGTTACCTAGGGCACTGACAAGTAAGTTAACTGTTTCCTAGGGCACGGACAAGTAAGTTAACTGTTACCTAGGGCACTGACAAGTAAGTTAACTGTTACCGTGGGCACTGATAAGTAAGTTAACTGTTACCCAGGGTACTGACAAGTAAGTTAACTGTTACCTAGGGCACTGATAAGTACGATCGCTGTTACCCAGGGCACCGGTGAGTAACTTCATTATTTCCCAGTGCAAAGAAAAGTCCAGAAAAGCGAATTCTCAAACTGAATATGAATTTTCTTACAGCTGTCTGTAAATAATCGAGTCTGAACCAGACAATCCAGTAATTGACATCATGAGCATCGATCCATTTAGTTAGGACACGATGACATGCATCAACAAAGTCAGCGAGCCTGACCACCCGACCCCGTTAGTGGCCTCCAACGACAAACGCGGGTTGTTGGAGGCCAATTCTAACCTTGATCATCACGGGAGAATGTGTTATCACGTGAACAAACACGGCTTGATCCTAACAATCTTCGCAAAGACACACGTTCAAAGTCCCACAGATAAAACGTATAAAAGTTTAGTTTGACCATATTAATCTTAGCTGTTTATTTGACTTGTGCTGAGCATAACACCGGGTCAGCATATAGATTGCGACGGAGGGAGAGAATGACTCACCTTGTGGTATATCACCCCTCAATTTGTTCACAATCCTGCCCCAGAAGCATCATCATCTTTATTTGGAATGTACGAGACACATCCTTACCGGCTACTCTTGCATGTTCTGGTAGTGTATGACTTGCAAACAGCTTGAGGCAAGACACACTCAGATTGTTGCAACATCGTTGCCCGGAAGAAGCCACAACCAAGGAATGCTCGTCGTGCAAATTACCCCGTGACCAAGACTGTACCATTATGTCCGAATACAGATAACAGGACAAATACAGAACAAACCATCAATGCGTGGAAACTCCGGAAACTCAGCAATGTTACAGTTCGAAAGGTTGAGATTTGACCTGCTGGGTCTGACGTCTTCCAGTCTTCACGAGCAGTCCACACTTTCACAATGTGGAGTCAAGGTGTGTGTTTATTTCTGACCGTGGTTTGTGTCTCCGGACAAGCTGATCTAAGTAACAGTTTCACATTGGACCAACAACCATTGAATGAAACAGCATTGTTTGTGGCTGACGCTCTCTACAAGCATCCCAAATTGTTCCGAAAGTTGATTAACATCAGCTCTGAAATTGGGCCATTCATGTCATTGACCGATGACCCGAAAATATCAATCCTATTCGATCAAGTCCTTGATGCTCTTCCTGCGTTGCTGCGGTCACCCTACTTCATCAACGCCGTACGCGTCGTCGCAGATGAGCTGCACAGCGTCAACATTACCGACGTGTACGACTATCTCCAGATGAACCATTATACCCCAGACGACATCGCAGCTAAACGGATGGTGAATGATGCTATCTTTGATAGGCTGGACAAGATGAGGACGCTTCAAAGACTCCTCACTCTTGGTAGTGCCCGGGACATCCTCCCCCTCAGCGTCAACGACAGTATCACGCCAGGATGCTACAGCGACATGATGAACTTCGTCGACGCAGTTGCCGGTATACAGATTCCACCAAGGAAGGACTTGAATTACATCAAGACACCATGGGCACTGAGAAGTAAGTAATCTCGCTGTCACTAGTCGAGGACAAGTTAGTACATTTTACCTTGGACACTGAGAAGTAAGTAGTCTCGCTGTTACTAGTCGAGGACAAGTTAGTACATTGTTACCTTGGACACTGAGAAGTAAGTAGTCTCGCTGTCACTAGTTGAAGACAAGTTAGTACATTGTTACTTTGAACACTGAGAAGTAAGTAGTCTCGCTGTAACTAGTCGAGGAGAAGTAAGTACATTGATTCCATGGACACTGAGAATTAAGTAATCTCGCTGTTACTAGTTGAGGACAAGTTAGTACATTGTTACCTTGGACACTGAGAAGTAAGTAATCTCGCTGTTACTAGTTGAGGACAAGTTAGTACATTGTTACCTTGGACACTGAGAAGTAAGTAATCTCGCTGTTACTAGTTGAGGACAAGTTAGTACATTGTTACCTTGGACACTGAGAAGTAAGTAATCTCGATGTTACTAGTCGAGGGGAAGTAGTGAGTGAGTGAGTTTGGTTTTACGCCGCATTTAGCAATATTCCAGCAATATCACGGCGGGGGACACCAGAAATGAGCTTCACACATTGTACCCATGTCGGGAATCGAACCCGGATCTTCGGCGTGACGAGCGGACGCTTTAACCACTAGGCTACCCGACGCCCCTCGATGAGAAGTAAGTACATTGTTACCTTGGACACTGAGAAGTAAGTAATCTCGCTGTTATTAGTCAAGGACAAGTAAGTACATTGTTGCCTTAGGCACTGAGAAGTTGGTATTCTCGCTCCTAATGAGTGTCAGGCAAGGAAATTGTTATTTCAGGTCCTCTTTTAATCACCGCGTTACTTATGAATGAAAAGTGAGAACTGGAATCATATTCCCTTGGGTTGTAAAAATTACATACTCATACAATGTAAGGAAGTAGGGCTTTGGACATGATACCTTGGGTCGTGAAAAGTAGGACTTGGACCATGTTTCCTTGGGTCGTGAAAAGCGAGTAATTAATACCCGCCCTCTCATCGATATCAAGCGCCATTTGTTTTTACTCGAAAAAACACATTTTCGTCGATTCTGTCCTTTGCGTTACATATACTAGATTATGTCAAGAAAATACCCATCAAACCAGAGCAAAACTATTGGTCATGCCTGTCATATCCGCAATTGTAGCGTCCCTGTAGTACAATATGGGACTGCTTCAGATCTTCACACTCTTGTGTCCCCCGCCCGCAATTCATTGATTGTCCTAAGCCAAGTAAGAGGAGGATGGGGTGGGTACAATGTGTGACCTGACGGATAATGTCATCGTACCCTGACGGCTTGGGTTGCTGATCATGCTCGCAATCACTGGTTTGTCTGACCCAGACTGTATTATTTCAGGTCTGCAGTATAGAGCTGGAATATTTATTCAATCACTCACTAATTTTCAGTGCTGGACTCCTACGGCAAGCCGCCTAGTGGTATTTACGAGGGAAATGTACACTGGCTGGGCGAACCGAAGGAATGTCGGAGCATACACGCGCAGTTGGCTCCTGGAGTTATCCTTGGTAACAAAACGCTAACCTCCCCTATCGACTTCAAAGGAAAGTACTGCCGGGCTGTGTTTCATCATATGCCTTGGGTTGCGGACATCTCTCAAATGGTATGTCAACACTTTGAATGTACCGTGAAGCCTCGTTACTCTGGACATCACTACGTCCCCATCTGACCCGTGAAGATCCGGGATAGAATAGGTCTTCAGCAACCCATGCTTGCCGTAAAAGGCGACTATGCTTGTCGTAAGAGGTGACTAATGAGGTCGGGTGGTCAGGCTCGCTGACTTGGTTGAGGCATGTCATCGTATCCTAATTGCGAGGATCGATGCTCATGATGTCAATCACTAGTTTATTTACAGACCTGCGTTATATAGCAAGAATATTCTTGAGTGCAGGGTTACACAACTAACAAAAAAATATAACGTCCTCAGTTATCGTTTCCCTAGCCTATCTTAATCAACTGTCCATCTAGATTAACTAGGTTTCGCTATCTAGAGATATATACGTTATATCCTGAGACAATGGATTATATATTGGCCGAAATATGCATGCCTTGTTGAGTAGTGAGTGTTTTTATTTTCTTTAGTCAGCTAATTCAGCAACTCCACACTGCTTTGATCAGCTCTTACAGCACACATGTCACAAATCAGGCGAGGTTAAACAACGTTGGTCTCGGAGAGCACTTGGATGGGAGACCGTGTTCGCCAGATTGACTCCTGGGACTTGCTAGGGCTTTGGTACTGCCCCACAGTGAAGCACACGCAGCACATGTTGTGTCTCCTAAAGCAAGTGACTCTGTTCCAATTATGCCTCTGTTCACCCAGCACTGAATGGGTACCCAGAAGGATGAGATGGTAATGACTGGTAACCTTCCAGCGCCTCACATCCACCCTAATAATAATTATATAGCGCTTTATGCATGCCCTTGTGTAGTATGGTAGCGCAAAATATATAGAAGTAGCAGCAGCAGCAGCAGTAACCTTCTCGCATATTTGGAGTCTCTGATCCGTGTGTTACCTTTATGTATACGTTCGGGGGCACGGGTGGCCCAGTCGTCTAAAACGCCGCGATTCGCTGTGCAGAGTTGCGTCCCTTTTGCACACCAGAAACCTATGATTGTGGGTTCGAATCCCGATTCGCCCCGATTATGTTTCTAGGTTGGTCAGAACCATACACGTGCTCGTGGGTTTCACCGAAGTGGTAAACGTCTGAGACCTGCATCACTTCGGGCCTTCCTCCCACATTAAGCTGACACGCCGTGATATAACTGGAATACTGTTAAAAGCGGCGTTAAACCCAACTCACTCACACTCCTATGCATACATGCTGCATTTGAACCAAATACTAGTACACAACCAGGCAGCATATTTCTGCAGATTTGGCACTGTCAGATTTCCACCTTGAGGCATATGATTGGGTGACGCAATCATTTAGACATGAAGTATTGCTGAAGCCCCATTCTCATGATTCCACTCCGGGTTCAATTCTCTACTTTCTTTCCAGGATGACACAGTGACGTGGGGCGTGTGTGTCCCCGATACGTGTAGCGAGCAGGACGTGGAAGAAATGTTCCAATTAGGTAGGTGCCGTTACCGAATACCATAAAGCGGCGGGGTTAGGGGTAGCCATCGATCGATCACTCCAGGCGCTGTTTAAATCCCGAGCAAAACTTAAGGAACTGCCTCCGTGGTGGAGTGGAGAGAGCGTCTGCCCAGTCGGTGGTTCGAACCCGGTATCGTCAAACCAAAAAAACGTTAAAAGACGGTACTTATTGTTTCTTTGCCTGGCGTTCGGCAGTAAGGGGTTAAAACAAGAACTGGTGAGGTCGGTTTCTGAGTGGGGTATCCATGTTTAAAGTGCGGCATGGGATCTCATTAGGCTAGCACAATAAAACTGGCATTAGTCTGGACGCGCACACACGTGCATGCACGTTGCAAAATAAGTACCACCTTGAACGCTACGTTTGACCCCATTTCCCCTCGCCTACATTAGGAGCTATTCTTTGCGTCACTGTTTTATACACCTATGTCTTAACAAGTTGTAATTGAACTGGTGTCGTGTGCAGACAGGGAATTAAATTGTGACGTATTTAGATCACGAAGTACCGAAGGTTTTTTAGTCTCTGGTTGTCACTCGAAGCTTCAAGGAAACATCCCTGGAGTCACAGCGTTGAAGGGGCGTTACCATGGTCCTGCAGAAAACATGGGTTTCACCAAAGTGGTAAACGTCTGAGACTGCATCACTTCGGGCTTTCCTCCCACAATAAGCTGACACTCTGTGGTTTAACTTGAATACGGTTTAAAACAGCGTTAAACCAAAGTCACTCACTTTCGAAACATGAACTGTCAGCTGTGAATTCTTGGAAACACCATCGTTGTCTGATGGTCTATACAGTTTAGAATAGCCCCCTGCTCCCATTGGAACGATTTGGAGTGACTTTTTTCGTGGGGGATTTTCTTTCACTCTTTTTCGGCCAATGAAATATCTTAAAACCAAAAGAGATGTCTTAGTAACTCACGTTTCACCTGATCCTCTGACCTAGGTTGCTTATTACACAACTATTTGAAAACATGATGTGCACGTGTTGGATCATGTCCACTGGCATACACCAAACTGTAGCTAGACTTTGAGTTGCAACGCATTGAGTTGAAGGGTCCTATGCTGGAATAGGCCAAGACGTTTTAATAAAATACGTGAGGCATTGTCGCTGTGCTGTGAAAGTGATTATTAAATTCTTTCCTTTCTTTGTTAACGCCGCGCTCGACCCGTGAAGATCCGGGGTAGAATTGGTCTTCAGCAACCCATGCTTGTCGTAAGAGGCGACTAACGGGATCGGATGGTCAGGCTCGCTGACTTGGTTGATGCATGCCATCGATCCCAATTGCGTGGATCGATGCTCATGATATCAATCACTGGATTGTCTGGTCCAGACTGGATTATTTACAGACCGCCGTCATATAGCTGGAATATTGCTGAGTGCGGCGTTAAACAACAAACCAAAGAAAACTAACGCCGCGCTCAGTACTATTCCAGCAATATGACGGCGGTCTGTAAATAAACGAGTCTGGACCAGACAACCTAGTGAGCATGACATGACATGAGCATAAACCAAGTCAGCGAACCTGACAATTCTATCCAGTTAGTCGCCTCATTAGTTGTTGAAGACCTATTCTATCCAACTCATAAGACAGGTTTAAAATGATTTAAATGAAACTTGTTAGGTCTGCAATTTGACCATGCCTATAGTGCAAGTCACTGTCTGTTTTAGATACATTATCGGTTATGAAGATACTAATCGAGGTAACGTACTAATTATTAATAAAACAAATCCTGTGTGCAGCATGTAGGCTTGGATTTATGATATTGCAGGTTTCATGAAGAATTTCCAGACGACTCCCGATAATGTCTCATGTTCAGACATCCAGGAACCTACTGGTCATGTGCCCGTCACGCCCCGGACTCCCCCCACCGGTCCCCCCACGTGAGTACATCCCATCCCAGATGCGACCCTTGAAGATTCGGGGTAGAAAGGGTCTTCAGCAACCCATGCTTGCCGTAAAAGGCCACTTTGCTTATCGTAAGAGGCGACTAATTGGATCGGGTGGTCGGGCTCGCTGAGTTGGTTGATGCATGTCATCAATCCCAATTCCGTGGATCGATGCTCATGATGTCAATCACAAGATTGTCTGGTACAGACTCTAATATTTACAGACCGCCGTCATAAAGCTGGAATATTGCTGAGTGCGGCGTGAAAAAACAAACGCATAAGCGAGTGTATCATTTCTACATTTCAACTATACTTGAACCGTTCACCCGTGACGAAATGTGTTAGAGTAGGTCTTCAGCAACCCATGTTTCTTAGAGGCGACTAACGGGATTGGTGACGGGATTGGGGGGTGGGTGGGTGGGTGGGTGAGGCTCGCTGACCTGGTTGATGAATGTCATCGTGTCCCAACTGAGTTGATCGAAACTCCTGTCAATCAGTGGATTATCTGGTCCGGTTCAGAATCGATTATTTACAGACTGCCACCAAATAGCTGGAATAATGAGCACCGAGTGCGGCGTTTTACAACAATCTTGACCCGTTCTCCAAAACGAACTTAACGCTGCTATTATCGCATCTTCCCGAGGCAAGGATGTTAGCTGACTATAAAGTCCAATTTCCACCTTTGCCGAACTGCCATGGGCTTGAATTTCCGAGTTATATTTTTACTAGCCTACCGATAGCGAGTGTATGCATATTCCAGTCAAAATCGCGTATCGGAATAGACATCCGATTCGTAAACATGGCAACTTCCAAGCAGATTAAGCTCGATTGCAGTATTTCAGTGCAAAGCATGTGCACCGCCACCTTAGTTCAACAGTCCTAATCTTTCATGTTTGATCAAATTGCCCATGTGATTTGATGCACTTCGTGGAGTAAGACCGCTTTATATAGATCTTCATCATCGATCACATTGCATTGCCTTGGCGCTGCCACTTGGTTTGAAACAAATGCAAGTGATATGAAAGGTGGAATCTGATTGGTCAATATGAGACGCAACTGGTAAAAGTAGCCAAATTCGACAAGGGTGGAAATTTATGAAGGTCGCATCTCGAAGATCGTTGATTAAATGGTGTCCAGCTGAGAATGTGTTTAGTTTAACGCCGACCTCGGCAATATTCCTGCTATAAGTAGGTCTTCAGCAACCCATACTTGCCGTAAAAGGCGACTGTGCTTGTCATAAGAGGCGACCAACGGGATCGGGTGGTCGGGCAAGGTGACTTGGCTGGTGCATGTTATCGATCCCAATTGCGTGGATCGAGGCTCATGATGTCTCCAGTCTCGATTATTTACAGACCGCCGTCATATAGCTAGAATATTTTGCTGAGTGCGGCGTTAAATAACCAAACATTCCGCCACCCCTCAATTAAGCATAGGTTGCTGGGAATCATGTTCCCGAGGCAAGAACGTCAAATAGCCTATTTATCAAAGTCTACATCTACCCTTGCCACATCAAGCCCACTTCCCTTTGCTTAATATGGTAATAGCACATATCAACAGTCAAATCAAGGAACGTTTCACCATCCGAAAACATGGACGTGAAGACAAGTATTTTCCAAGTCTGTCCAAGTTTTATATCGACACTCCCAAGTACTGTACTTGTAAGCGACCCGTGAAGATCCGGGGTGGAATAGGTCTTCAGCAACCCATGCTTGTAAGAGGCGACTATCGGGATCGGGTTGTCAGGGTCGCTAACTTGGTTGATACATGTCATCGATCCCAATTGCGTGGATCGAGGCTCATGTCAATCACTGGATTGTCTGGACCAGGCAAGATCAGGCTCGCTGACTTGATGCATGTTATCCCAATTGGCCGATGTTTATTCAAATCACTGGATTATCTGATCCAGAATATATTATTTACAGACCACCGTCATATGGCTGAGTGCGGCGTAAAACACGCTAGTATGCTGGCCGCAATACCTTATGCGTGGTACGATGAAATGTACATATAATTGTCACTTGCAGCACTACATTTTCCAAGCGTCCCAGTGTTGCAGCGAACTCCCTTTTCACATCGTGTTCCGACTGCAAAGATCGAATCAAGCCAGACGAATGGATGAACTGTTTCTTCTCCAGTTTTGACACCGACAGTGAGTACATGTAGTTATCTCCCTTGACAGTAACAAGCTCCTGACAGCGATCCATCATTGCCTGACCCCTTTACGAAGAACGGATAGGCACTGCTCTGGAAACAAACTGATGTGTGTAATTAATTTATCTCCCCCTGTCCTTGATTCATGACGAATAGTCGACCTTGAACACTAGGGTCATATCTCTGCAGGATAATACACCATTTAATATTCCGCTTCCATATTCGAATGACACAACGCTACAAATAGCCGTCCAATCGCCATGTTGGGTTCCTCCCGTCTTTGTAGCCAGGAAGACAGTCTCTTAATTCGATGGCCCGCCCGTAAAAGGACGTGAATTTCAATGACTTTTAGATTAATGCCGAGGATTGGATATCCAAAACGTCCGCAATAAACAACTCGTAATTGACAACTTACATCGTTACAGATAAAAGCGACGTTACATGCAATATGGATTGAAAGCAGCTCTGTTTCAAATCTGAGCACAAGTCACTTATAGCTGTCAATATTGTTGCCTGTTCACCTCAAACTCAGTTATCCGCCCCTTTCCCCCAAAATTATGTACCAACTAGTTGGTTGTTAAACGCCGCACTGAGCAATATCCCAGCTGTATGACGGCGGTCTGTAAATGATCGAGTCTGGACCAGGCAATCCAGTGGTTGACATCATGAGCATCTGACCGTCCGATCCCGTTAGTCGCCTGTTGCGGCAAGCATGGGTTGCTAAAGACCTATTCTACTCCGGGTCTTCACGGGTCCAACCTCTGATAAAAGTGTTATCGTCTTAACGCTACGGAACGGAGCTTTGAACTTCGTAAACTTGATATTAAGAGTCCCCCAATGCAAAGAATAACCTCAAGAAGGACTGTGATCTGAAATGGACATCAACTCAGACTATGTTGGAACGAGGTAATGAATGATGTCAGCTTCAATTATTTGCGACAATGCTTTCATATGGACCTTCTTGTTGGTTTAAAATACTAACAATGTACCTGAAGATGTACTTTTTCAGAAAATGGCAACATCAGCAAGCGTGAATGGTGGTCCGAGAGCCACAAGCTGGGGCTGGACACGACTGACCAGGGCCAGATAGCGCGAGCCTTCATCGAGCTGGACATCAACAAGGACCTCCAGATAGACGCACCTGACCTCAAGTATCTCTTTGCCTTCTTTGACGACAACGGTGAGGTCACCGCTTTGAATTGTTAAGGCTATGCAATTCTCATGTGGCGGTGGCGCCGCGATTCGCGTCCCTTGTGCACGCCAGAAACCTATGATTGTGGGTTCGAATCCCGGTTTGCCCCGATTGTTTCTAAGCACCATACCTGTCATCTTCCCGAGGCAAGGGAGGTAACTGACTATAAAAGTCCAGTTTCCATCCTTGCCGAACAAGGCTGGTATTATGGAGTTACGTTTTTGCTCGACTAACGAGTCTATGCATAGTCCAATCGAAATCCGGTTCGAAAACTGTCGTCCAGATTTCGATTGATTGCAGGATTTGCAAAACATGTGCACCGCCAACTCCTTGTCAACAGATATTTTTCATGTTTTTTTAACTCACGTGATGCATTTCGCGATGTAAGACCCGTTATATCACAATATAGATCTTGATTATCCATCAGATCGTCCTGACTGGGCGCTGCTATTTTGTGTGAAGCAAACGATACGATAGGTGGAATCTGATTGGTCCATAGATGCATAGAAGGGACATAACTAGTAATAGCCACTGGTGGCGCTACGATCGAGGCCAGTAATTCCAGCCTAGTTCGGCAAGGGTGGAAACTGGACTTTTACAGTCAGTTAACTCTTGCCTCGGCAAGATGCATACCCGTGGGTTTCACCGAAGTAGTAAACGTCTAAAACCTGCATCACTTCGGCCTTTCCTCCCACGAAATGTGCTGGGACAAACATTCGAGAAACATTTCGCCCGAACACATATCCCTAACAAATGAGTCACGTTCGACTTGATCACCTGTCCACCCCGGTTACATCTTTCTCGTGGCCCTGTCGAGACTGGTACTGAGTTGCAGAGAATGTTTGTGAGCTGGCTTCTCATTTGCAACATCTATGACACTAACTGATGAGGATGGGAACATGACAAACGTCCACCTGTGAAAGCCGACATGCCTTATCGTCATTGCTGTGAATTTATGGATGTCAACTTCTTTATTATCAACACAACGTTTCGCAGTATATGCTTACTCCTCACGGGTTGTTAGTTATGCAAAAGTTGCCTATTTTCCTACCTGGAGTCTTCAGTCGTGACATAAAACCGTATGTAGGACGTGTTTTTTAGATCGAAATGCTAATGTAAAACCTGTCCCAATATTGGCTGCGCCCAACGGAGAATTATATGCTCCTCGAAAGTTGTGTTTATAGAAGCTGGCTGCATACTCCTCTCCAGTACTGTACAATTTCGGTTTCTTTTCAGGAGATGGGTTTGTCAACCTCCAGGAGTTCAGCTACAACTGGCAGTCTGTCGTCTCGTAGACTTCAATCACATCACCTGTCAAGATACCACACTGTTAATAAACGCCGTTTAACGCTTGTAATTTGCCTGGTCCATGTTGAACACCTGACTTTCACAATCCCTCAGCACATGTAGTTTGGCAAATTAACCTTGATCGATGTTCATGAAATCAATCACTGGAATGTCTGGTCCAGACCGCCGTCATATAGCTGGAATATTGCTGAGTGCGGAGTTAAACAACAAATAATGAAATGACTTACACACAGTTGCCAGATGTTTCCAAAAACATTCTGGTTATCCTCATCGCCAATACGCCCCTCTTTCTCCAGAAGCCATGAAAGGGTGATCTACAAAGACTCCCAGGCATCAGAAGTGAAAATATACTCATAAAGCTCGCATCAATTCTGGAACAAGCTGCCGTTTGGTTTTCAGTTATTAATGACATCAATGGGAAATGAGTGAGTTGGGTTTACGCCGCTTTTAGCAATATTCCACCAATGTCACGGCGGGGGGACACCAGAAATGGGCCTTCCCACATTGTACCCATGTGACGAGCAATCGCTTCATCCACAAGGCTACCCACCGCCAGTGTGAATGTTATTGCAGTACCTGTGGGTTGGGTTTAACACCGCTTTTAACGATATTCCAGGTGTATCACGGCATGTCAGCTTAGTGTGGTAGGAAAGCTCGAAGTGATGCAGGTCTTGACAAACCTAGAAACATAATTGGGGCGAACCCACAATCATAGGTTTCTGGCGTGCCCAACTCTGCACAGCGAATCGCGGCGCCTTAGACGACTGGGCCACCCGTAGTACCGGTGAAGGGATATTCAGTGAAATGAAGCGTACACAAACCTTTACCATACTTTTCATCTCAGGAAACTTTTACCTCAAAAAGACAACCACCTAAGCGCATATTATGTCATCTGAAAGTCTTTTTTGATGGCACAAAAACCGTTAGCATGCACACGTAACCAGCAAATGTCAATCAGAATCCAACATATACGGGTTCTACCACATGCTACTGTAGGTCTCGCGAACACAGGGAAAGACGGCTCCAACGCTGTCCCGTATATCTGCAGCTGCTGTGACGTCATGGTCGTGCTTTATTTGTGTTTGGTTTGTGAAGTTACCACACTTCGGCTCAGTGGAATTCTGGGAAGGAAAGAGAAGTTACATGGGGATGACTAATACTTGGAGTGATGTAAACAAACTATCTTTGTACATTTTTTCAAAACATTCCTAACTATAAATTATTCCACTAAACATGTTTCTGTTACTCAGGCACAATCATAGAAGGGAGACACGCTCTGCCCTGGCTCCCGTTCCCGTTCCACAAAGCCATCGTAAGCCCATGTTAATGTGTGGGAGTTACGATCACCTTAGCGCTAACAACGCCGTGTGGAACAGGGCCCTGGACTGGTGTACCTGCCCTTATGTGCTTCAGCTCCTCGCATGCAGCCGCTAGCGGTGCTGTCTGTCGAGAGGGGCGGGAACAGGCCTGCAGCCTACCACTATAGGGGAAACGTTAACCCATTTCCATGGAGCGAGTTCTGCCTGTCGGGAGGGACAGGGGCAGCACTACAGCATATCGCTATGCGGGAAACCTTGACCCATTTCTGTGGAAGAGGTATTAGCACTTTTGGACAGCGTGAACATCCGACTGTCGGGCTACAGGAGTAAACATTAACATTACGGAGGTAACTCTCAGAAGTATGGTTAAAACGTACAACATTGTTGGTTTCAATTTTAAACAACATCTGCATGTCTCCACTGATCGATCTACTTCATTATAAAATAATATTACACAATCTAGCTATAACTTTAAAAAGATAAATCATGAAAAAATATTAATAACTCTACCACTTTAGATATACACCATTGTCAACAGTACCATGCATAAGACTATGGTTGTGTCAACGTAATACCCCTTGTTCCTAGCAAACAATCAATGTTTCAGGAAGTCATCGTTGTGAAAACGTAAGTTTTGATTCCATAATCTTTTTTTCTACAACAAACATTTAAACTGAAATATGTAATTTTCATATTCTCATTCCCGATCCTGAGTGAGTTAGTTGGGTTTAACGCCTCGTTTAACGCCGCTTTTAACAGTATTCCAGTTATATCGCGGCATGTCGTCTTAATGTGGGAGAAAAGCCCGAAGTGATGCAGGTCTCAGACGTTTACCACTTCGGTGAAACCCACGAGCACGGGAAGGGTGCTGACAAACATAGAAACATAATCGGGGCGAACCGGGAATCTAACCCACAATCATAGGTTTCTGGCGTGCCCAAGGGACGCAACTCTGCACAGCGAATCGCGGCGCCTGAGACAACATGACGGTACCAGATGCAAATTACAATTCTGGGTTACACGTGTTCATAATGATAGTATAGGTACTTGCACCATCAGGAAGGTATGCTACAAAATGTCTTTGCGCCGTGTTGATCCTATGGATCAAAGCTATCTTTCTTACCTTCTGTGAAATATACTCAACAACAAAAGTTCCTGTGACACCAATATTTTACTGTATTTTTCAAACAAGTAAAGTTTGGTTTTCAATATTGTAGTACATGTATGGAATCAAGTCACAAAAACGCAACAGCTACAGAAAAGCATGCATTCCATGCAAAAGTTGACCCATGCATTTCACTACCCAAGAATGGGTATAAAAACATGTGCGTTAACGGGATTCCATATGCATTGTTTAGCATCGTGCTGACAACAACCACTCAGAAACACAACAAAATTACGCAATTATTCAACATTACGAAATGCCACGCCTTTCCGAAAATGAGCGTCTGCGAGCCATTGCGAGCGTAGGCTTGAAGCAGGATCGAGTCAACGTGATGTTGCAAGACAATTTAACGTCCACAGAAACACCATTTGGTGTTTATAGCAACGTTGGCAACAGACGAATGCAGTCAGAGACCATCCTCGGAGTGTCAGGCCACGCGTAACCAATAATCGACAAGACAACTGGATTTGAACAACACACCTACGAAATCGATTCCAGCCAGCAACAGTGACTGCAAGAAGAATCCCTGGCCTTCGACGAATATCTTCACAAACCGTACGCCGTCGCCTCAGATGTGCAGGGATTGTCGCCAGAAGACCCACCAGACGTCCCATTTTGACAGGAAACCACCGTCAAGCACGTCTACAGTGGTGCAGACAGCGTCTACGGCCCTGTTGTTCTACCGTTTTTGCGTCGTCATGGCCCAGGCATTACCTTTCAACATGACAACGCCCGGCCTCATTTTACTCGACTTGTTCAGAATTCTCTTCAACAAAACAACGTGAATGTCATCCCCTGGCCGGCTCGCTCCCCTGATCTCTCACCAATCCAGCACATGTGGAATGAGATGGATCGGCGCCTTCGACGTCAACCACGTGTTCCGAAGACACTCCAGGAACTTCGAAACATGCTCCAGCAGATATGGACAGATATCCCACAGGACATTGTGCGACGCCTGGTCCATTCCATGAGATGAAGATGTGTTGCTTGTATCGCAACCAGAGGTGGACACACACGCTACTGATTTGTAAATTGACATTTTGGCATGTTCATGTGTTTTATGAAATCACGCATTTTCTGAAGTCAGTATGGCAAATTAAACCATTTGAACACTTACAGGAGTCTGTTATCTGTTGCAAACCGAAATTGTTTCAGATTTGGTAAAAACATAACTTTGCATTAAATCTTAATCAATTTCACAGGAACTTTTGTTGTTCAGTATACATTCATTCATCATACCGCCAACGCCAACCCCAACCCCAGTCTTTTTTAGACTTGATCTAAATTTAAAAGTGAATAGAGAAAGATATTTAAATATTGAAAAGTCACTAAGAATTTGCCGGGTACACCAGAAATGGGCTTCACGCAACCTACCCATATGGAGAATCGAACGGGGCATTGTGCGTGACGATCGAACGCTTAAACCACTAGGCTATCCCACCGCCCCGTCTCAGCTTGTATACTTCCACCATCTATCGTGAATAACGTATTGAAAGAAGCAAGAACACTGCAAATGTAATGTGTATAAATGGAAATGCAACGTCGACTACAATGGCAGAAGTTGAATGTCGCCCATGATAAATATAAGTTATCATCATTATCATCGTCACTTTATGGCCAATAAGTGGTTAAATAACTCTGTGAATATGACTTAAGAAATTACTTAAAACTTAAGTTGGTTGTTAGAGAAACTCAGATTTCATGGTGGGTTTAAGAATTATTAATATCTTAAGAAAATTATAAGAAGCTTTGTGAATACCGCTCCAGGAATGGTATAAACACATTGAACCGGTTTTCACTGTGACGAGTCCAAGCTTTCTCCAAACCCACTCGGAAGGCCTGGAAAGCAGAAACTAATTTAAAAACAATTGTACAAAAACCTATGATTTCAGCATTTATCTAACTACGTATACAAAAGGCGTTTTTAATTATTTTTTTTATATGTTTGTTTTATCAGGGCAAATAGCGGTGGTTTGTAGAATACTTATGGCAGCCATATTGGACACCTTTTGTAAACGTAAATGCTGACATCATAGGTTTTTGTACAATTGATTTAAACTGATTGCAATTGCATGTTATATGTGTACACTGTCATCACTAAATGTATTCAGCTGAGTCACTACTTCATAAAGATTTTTTATTAAGCGTCCGAAAACCTATTTCTATGACCCCTGCTATATATGTTATACCTTTTTCAGTATGAGACACACATTCTACCCTTAACTAAACCTTGGGGGCAAAGTGCGGCCAGCCCACTCAATAACACATCGTGTGTACTGGTTTATCAAGTTGACATTTTGGTTATTTTATAGTATTTGGCGCTGTTTACTTCAGCGGGCCTCGTGTGTCAGACTGGCGTGACTTGGAACCATTTCCGACCACGGACTTTGCCCTGTGCTATCCTGGTGCAGCCACACTGATTACTCTAAAGTTTGCGGAAAAAAGTGAACATAAATATAAAGCGGGAGCGGAAGCTTTTGGATACATTTCTAACAGGTTTAGTGATAGCGTTTTAAATAATATTGGTAATGATAGTAAATGAGTTGGGTTTCTTAAACATTTTTA